TGACTGTTGTGTCCCAGGAAAGCCAGCCCTGATCCAAGGTCTTAAAGGTCTTCTCTTATGGATTGTTCTAGGAGCCTGACAGCTTTCTGTTTCACACTGAGATCTGTGATCTATTGTGAGCTAGTTTTACAGTGTGACGTCCGGAAAGGGTCGATACTGACTTCCTTCATACAGATACCCAGCTGCCTGTGTGTCGTCTGTTGGGAGCTCCTTTTTCTTGTTAAAGCGCCATTGTACCTTTTGCCAGTAAGTTCTTCCTCGTCTCTGTCTGGACTCTAGTCTTTCCTTCTGATCACTGGCCATTGCACTGTATCTGTCTTTTCACCTGTGTCACATTCTATGTTACTGCACTGTCGTAAGTCACAAAATCAGACCAGTTCTTCAACCTTGGTCTTCATTTTCCTGATCTCTGTGGCTAGTCTGGGTCATTGATATTTCCTTAAAATTTGACAGTTGCTTTGTCGGGTTTCTACCGGAAATTTCTGCAGGGATTTTTACTGGATCTATACTGAATGTAGAGATCAGGATTGCCCCCAGACTGTGCTGGCGGTCTTGATCCATGGACATGGTATTTCTCTTCATTGATCCGTCTTCTTTGCTTTCTTGGTAGCCTTGAGTTTTTCAGTGTAGAGGCCTTAAATGGCTTTTGTTAGACTAATTCCTAAATATTATACAGAGAGGGTTTTTGCTACTATAAATGTAATGTTTTATTGATTTCATTTCCCTTTGTATATTGTTAATTTAAGAATGAAATTAACTTTCATTTAACCTTTTATTCTATAATCTTGCTAAATTCACTTACTGGTTCTAAAAGTTGTTTTATAATTTCCCTGGGACTTTTTTTCATGTGAACAATCGTATCAACTGCGAAAATAGTTTTACTTCTTCTTTTCCAAACCTTATGAGTCGTCTCCTCTCATCTGGCCTTGTACAAGGTCAGGGTTTCCAGTTCAGCACTGAAACCAGGCACCCAAAACAATTCAGTGTTTTACCACTTAATACAGTGATAACATAGAACATCTTTAGGTGTTCTTTATCAATAAGAGAAGGTTCCCTTCTGTTCCTCACTTTTATTATAAGTACACATTAGATGTTGTGTGTTTTCTACGTCTACTCATGTATGTGGTTCTTATGGGCATCGCTGGGTTTCCTTAGGATTCATTTCTAGAAATAGAAACAAAGGTCAAATGAATACGAATTTTTAAGCCTTTTCCTTTCTATTTCCAAATACTCATGCAGAGCGGTTGAGCCGGTTTATCTCTCCCCAAGCTGTGCTGCCTGCTTCCTCACAGCCTTGCCTATACCAGATTTCACAATTTTCACGTGTTGCCAGCTTTAAAAAGACATTTCCCGAGATGGTATCATGTTTCAAGTTGCATTTATTTTATTGCTGTGGACATGAACATTTTACTGGCTATTTATATTTATTCTCTAATAAATTATTTTCTTTATCTTTTACCAGTTTTCTGTTGGGCATTTTTTTTCATTATTATTTGTATGTTTTTTAAATATGTCAAAGTTATTCATCTTTATGGTATGCAATGTATGTCCCAGTTGTTGAACTTTTTTTTCTTAATTTTGTTTGGTTTTGTTTTGTCTTGTCTTGCCTTGTCTTGTTAGTTTGGGGATGTTTGTTTTGTTTTGTTTTCAGGGTTTTTTTGGTACCAGGAATCGAACTCAGGACCTCATGCTTGGGAGGCAGGTGCTGTGCCCCAACTGTTGGTTATTTTAGATCCTCGGTCCCCACTGTTGGTTATTTTAACAGACATTATTAGAGCAGTTTTAGGTTTGTAACAAATCTGAGTGGAAAGAGCAGAGATTTCCCACAGGCTCCTGGGAACTCCTGCGTGCTCTGCCTTCTATGGCTTCCTTCCTCAAACTCTGCAACTATTGACTGCCGCTCTCCCCACAGTCTGCCTTTTCTGAATGACACCCAGCTGGAACCACAGAGTAGGCAACCTTTCCGGCTGCTTCCTTCACTGAGTGATCAGTACTCACGCTTCCTCCATGTCTTTTCATGGCACAAGTTCATCTCCTGTGGGCAAGGTGGAATATCCCATTGTCTGGATGCACAGCAACTTACCGCTTGTCCACTGCCTACCAAAGGACATCTTGGTTGCTTCTGACTTTGGACTGCTAGGAGAGGTCACCAAAGGGTGGGGTTATTTCCAGGACTCCCCTCCCTGTCCCAGGACATCAAACCCACTAGCACAGTCCTCTAAGAGCTGGGCACCCCTTCTGGAACAGCGTCCTGCTTACCCTATGTGAGCTTCCTAGAAACCAGATAGGGGACAGAGGCTCACTGTGGAGTCCCTGGCAGAAGGCCTCTGCGGCTTCCCTGGGTAGAGGGCTGATTCCAAACCAGGAAAGGGTCCCAGAGAGAGAGGCCACCACACCCCTTCCTCTAGCAGCTTGCCTCCAGGCAGAAGGCTGCCCAAACCGGTTCACAATTCTTTGGGGGAGAATTATTGGCATCAATTAATTGATTCATTAAGCCGACACTATGCTTGGAGTCTACAGCCGGGCTTCACTGATTTTTCCTTCAGCAGACTCCAAAGAAAAGCAAGAGCAAAGTTAGAGGTTGAGCTGTTTAAAGAATGCTAACTCGTGGTCTGTGTCTCTTTGACCTTGGGAGTCAAACCCCAGTCAGTGTGCCTGGAAGTTTCTTCTTCTCCTCTCCAGCTTTTCCTAAAACCAGACCCTTCCTGCATGTATAACAATCCACCCTCACTTAGCATTAAAAAGCCACCTTGGCCTTCCTCATGGCTCTTTGATTGGGCCGGGCTCACACAGCTATTCTGCTGGGCCGCTCAGGGGTACCTCAGGTAGCTATGACCTTTGGGGGATCGCAGGCTTGGGGTCTGAAATGGTACCTGTTCACATGTGGCAACATACCAATGCTGCCCAGCAGCTAAGTGTCCCTTGCTGCTGATCTCTTGTCTTTCCTGTCTGGGCTGTCCAGGGGACTGTCCAGGGGGTTGCTGCAGAAGCTGCCAGGCCTCTTGTGGCCCTGAATTCAGAAGTGACACAGCAACGCTTTTGCCACAATCTCTTGGGCAAAGCAAGACCGCCCAGATTTCAGGGGTGGGAGACAAATGTCATTCTGGGTGGGACTGGGAGAGTTATGAGGCATCTCTCGGTCACAGCCTGCTGGCTGACCAGCAGTTTTCTGGGTGGAGAAAGGACTCCTGCTCTGGGTGTTGCAGTAATACTGTTGGCTCCCCTCATTTTTCTTTTGTGTCTTGGTGACCTTGTATTTTGGTGGAAATGATAGGAACCGGGAAATGCCATTTCTTCAAACTTAGCATCTTTAGGTTCTCCGGATAAAATATTTTTAATTTACTAGCAACTTGGGAGTTATTGTCTGAATAAACCATCCTTTTAATTTTAATGCATAGCACTTAATAATTTTATGAACCAACTAAATTTGCAGCACATATGAATATTCTTAAAACCAAATTCACATCTGTAGAAAATCATCAGAAGATTTTTAAAATGTAAAATTTTCAATGTGCCTGGGTTTTATTTCCTTTAAAGTTTTTTTTCCTATGGCTTTTATATTCCCAGAAGTCTTACATCTTCATTCCAGGCCTGAGCCTCTATGGTTGCGTGCTGTATGCCCAGCCAGTGCTGGGAGCCATGGAGGTGGTGGCCCTGGCCCACAGCAGTCATCCTGGAGGACAGGCCTTGGTGCCCTATGGGTGGCATCTGCTCAGATGACCACGTGATCAGGGAACACAGCCTCCATCCCTCCACTCCAGTTCAAGTCCCTGGGCCCTGGTGGTAGGTCCCAAGCATAGTCTCTGCCTAATGAATCAGTCAATTAATTGATGCAAATAATTTTCCCCCAGGGAGCTGAGAAGGGGTTTGAGCAGACTTCTGCCCAGAGGCAAGTTTCTGGGAGATATCGGTATGTGGCGGTCCCTTTCTCTGGGACCCTTTCCTGGCTAGGAATCAGCTCCTTCTCCTCCAGGGCCCAGCAAAGACCTGCCCAGGACTCTCCGCCGTGAACCTGTCTGACATCTGCTTTCTGGAAATTTCAGCCTGTCCCATGGCGTGAGCAGGCCCTGGAGGGCTGGGTCGGGTGTGGGCATGACAATGAGAAGGGCAGGCGGAGCAGGGAAGCCACCTCAGCCTCCTCGTTCCCTCCTAAGGTGCTAAGGAGGGCTGTGCTGGGGAGAGGAAAGGGTACTTCTGCCGCCTGCCTGGTCCTGTGAACAGTGATGTCACAGCACAGCCTGGCCAGTGACTGCTGGGCTGCTGAGTTAGATGCTGCAAACCTCAGCCTCTGGAGACCTCACTTGCCTTGCAGAGCAGCGCTCCATGTCCTTGTTTGGAGAGCCCCAACGCCCCCGGAAGTGGGTAGGCCTGGCTTACCTGCTTTCTCCCACAGGTGTGGGGGTGGGGGGAGCATGTCCCCTCACCAGGCCCTAGGCTGTTCATGGAGCAGCAAAGGGTTCAGACAGCTGAGTATGCAGGGCCCTGTCTGGAAGCCAACCTGGTCCCCCGAAAGGGCCCCTCTGTGTCCTAAGCTCTGGCTGAAGAGCAAGCTCAGGAGAAGGCAGCCTTGAGGGGTCCAAGCCAGCACTGACCTTGACTGTGGTGTTTGCTGGGTGTTACTATTAAACCTCAGGAGATAGGATTTAACCTGTGGTGTGGCTGAACCCACGCAATAAAACACTTTGCCATCAGGAATGTGACCAAATTCTCTGGCAAGTGAAGCGGGGAGGTGGGCTGTGCTTCCGACTCAGGCTGTCATTAGTAGACTGCAAGGACCCACGCTCAGGTCGCAAGCTTTGAGGACCAAGCATGGGCTCAGATCTCAACTCCTCCATCCATTGGCTGTTCAACCTTGGGAAAAGTCACTTAACCTCTCCAGGCCTCCATCTCCTCTTCTGTGCAATGGGGTGATGGATTACATGCAATAAAAGCACATGAGAATTGCCTAGCCCCGGTCTGGGCAGGGAAACTTGTGGCCCTCACACGACCTACTCTGCCAGCTCCCCCTCCAGCTCCGATGCCAACTTGAGGTTTCCGGAGGGCACCGGCCCCCTACAGACCCCACGCTGGGAAGAGTCACAGCGGGGCTGCGCGCTCGAGCAGATCTGCGGCGTGTTCCGTGTGGACCTGGGGCACATGCGCTCCCTGCGCCTTTTCTTCAGGTAAGAGCAAAATTCTGTGGTTCCTGGACATGGGTCAGTACTAGGGGCACTTCCCCAGCCCATGGCAGCAGAGGGAGCTGAGCCCTTGGCTGCCGAACGTCTGCGCCCCTTCTGGGGAAGCTGTCCTTTGCAGCTGCAGAGATCTGGCTCCCCAAGACCTGAGGGCTGCCGTGTCCCTGGAGGGTAGGGTGTTCCCAGTCCAGAGCCCTGTTCCAGCCTTGGGTTAGAAGGCTGCCAGGGGAGCAGGTGGTACTCTCTGATGGAAGCTTACTTAGTCTGCCCACCACCAACCACAAGTCTGCACCCAGGAGCTTCTCTTGGTACCCACCTCAGCGGGTTCCCAATCCACTTTCATCCAACTCTGGCAGCCGATCAGTTTCCACTCCTTGGACAGGAAAGGGTAACATGGCCAGGCAGGTAGTGGTGTGGTGGGGAGACGGCAGTTCCAGGCAGCCTTGGGAGAGGAGGGACCGCAGGAGGGAGCTCTGAAACCAAGGTGTTGCTGGCGTGAGTCTGGCCTCTCTCCGCCGTAGCCGTAGCCGACTCCACTCCACTCCGGCAGATTCTGATCATACTTGGAAGTAAACAGTCGTGTTTGCATATTCCTTGCCTACCCCCGTGACCTCAGCGATGAGGCCTGCACCAGTGGCCAGCTGGTGGTCGCCAGTCGAGAGAGCCAGTACAAAGTCTTCCACTTCCACCACGGCGGTCTGGACAAGCTGTGTGAAGTATTTCAGCAGTGGAAGTTCTGTGCCGAGACACACCTACGAGACCAGGTAGCCTGCCAGCTCTGACCTCACCCTGACTCACCCGAACCCCAAGCCTGCAGTCAGGCTGCAGGAGGCCCCAGGACGACACCAGGTGGCTGCCCCCTCACAAGCCCTATGGGGCCAGCGCCTTCCTAGCATGTCCTCTTCCTGGGCCTGTGCCGGGGTCCCAGCCCCATCCATGGGTTGTAGGGTGACCCCTGTGGCTGTGGGCCGTCTACAGCCTGAGGGGGGCTGACAGCAGAGCACCCCGGGTGGGAGACATGTGCCCGTGGTTTTTTGAAAGTCAGTGCTCTGCACTTAAAAAATCATGTTTTGACAAGGCCTCCTGCCATATTTTGCTCAATCTACATACAAATGTAATAAGAGCTCTTTAATTATCTGTTTAAGATACTGTATGTGCTTATTAGAAACGGGGCTGACTTTAAAGCCCCATCCTTCCCACAGAGCCTCCTGCTGGCTTCCCTTATTACAGTAGCATGGCGTCTCCCCGCTATGCTGAACAACCTTTGATTTCTGAATTAAATGTCAGCTGCAGCCTTGCCCTGGATTCGTGACTGCTCGCAGAGACAATCTGACAGCCCGGCTCCCCACTCGCAGAACAGCGATCCCATTGTATGTGGCCAATCACGTGTAATTTATTGCAGGCCCTCCTGGCAGAGGGAAGTTAGGCCGTCCGGGGCATTCATTCCGTTTTCTGCGGCTGGGCTTGGAGAGAGAGCAGGGGGTGGTGTTCAGAGTGGGAGCAGCAAAGGGAAAGCGATTTTAGGATGGAGGTATTTTCATTTTAATTGCGTCTAATTACACTTGCCATTTAGGGTTTGTATGCAGGGGGCAGCGCTTACCCCTCCTCTCTGAAGGGAGAGAGCCTTGTAGATCCTGGGAACGGCTCGCTGGCTGCCAGAGGCCGGCGTCGGACACACTCATCTTTGCCCAGTTTCCCTCCCGTCCAGCAGGTCCCAGATGAACGGACGTGCATGCAGTTCTCCATCCGACGGCCCAAGCTGCCATCCTCCGAGACACACCCTGAGGAGAGCTCCTACCGCAGACTGGACGTGTCCACCTGGCTCAGTCACCTGAATGAGCTGGGCCAGGTGGAGGAAGAGTATAAACTGCGAAAGGTAAGGCCAGGCCCAGCTGGCTGGCCTCGCTGGAAGCCTCTCAGGCACAGGCAGCTGGCAGGAAGGAGAGCCAGGCACCCGGGGGCCGCTGGCTCGAGAGGGTCTCGTTCCTGGTGTGAGGCTCTGCACTGATGAAGTGATCAGAGCAGCTGCCTTGCAAACAGCTCCAGAGTGGGCTGGGGATCCTGAGTCAGCCTGCAGAGACGGGGCTACAGAACTGTGGGGCAGCATTTCCAAAACCGGGGATTAGGCCATGACGTGAGAACGACACGTTAATCGGAGCGCCGCCCCAGGGGGCCTTTGACATTGAAATGAGCCGGTTTGAGTCCTGTATGGGAATGGAGGGCCGGTGCTTTCCCCTTGTAAACATGTGCAAATTGCCGGGTCTCAATCGAGGCGCTCCGAAGCCACCAAAACACATCTCTAAGGACTTGGGGTTCTTTGAGCCGCCCTATTTTATCCCCTCCCCAACTTTTGCCGCTTCCTCCAGGCCATTTTCTTTGGTGGCATTGACGTGTCAATCCGGGGGGAGGTCTGGCCCTTCCTGCTGCGCTATTACAGCCCCGAATCCACATCGGAGGAGCGGGAGGCACTGCGGGTGCAGAAGCGAAGGGAATACGAGGAGATCCAGCAGAAGAGGTACGGCGCCGGCCCACCCCACTGCACCTCCACGGAAAATGCCTTGAAAGGGCAATTGGAAGTGCAGCTCAGCAGCGATAATATGTTCTGTGACCCATGGCTTCTTTGGAGACTGGGTCTCCCAGGAGCGTGAGCGATCGGGTGGGCTAAGTACAGTCATTATGCCACACGCCTGGGCCCCGGCAGGGGCTCCTCAGCTCACATGTCAGTCTGAGAACCCTTCTTCAAGAGGCTTAACTAGGCATTGACACCCTCAGCTGCAGGCTGGGCTCGGAGTAGGGGAGGGGCCAAGGAAGGATGGAACTTGTGTCCCACCTGGGTGTCGCTCCCCAGGGACTGTGCTTAGCACCCCCTTTCGACGCCTCCCTCACACTGGGGTGTAGTCTGCTGGGGCACCAGGAAGCTGAATTAACAGGGCAACCTTGGATCCGAAGTCTTTGCTGCGGGTTTGAGCTGGAGGGTTTGCTACCAGCAGGAGCAGTAGCTTAGCACTCCCCACCCCCACACGCACTACTTACCCCCAGCACTGAACACTGGACCGACCTCAAGGCAGCCCTCTCCCCACCAGGCTCACCATGTCTCCCGAGGAGCACAGAGCCTTCTGGCGGAACGTGCAGTTTACTGTGGACAAGGACGTGGTCCGCACAGATCGGAGCAACCAGTTCTTCCGAGGGGACGACAATCCCAATGTGGAGAGCATGAGGTACCCTGCTCCCTGAGGCCTTCCTCGCTGTGTCTGTGAGCCTCTCTTGAGCTTCTGGATCTCCACCGTTCCTCTGGAAAAGGGACCAGCCCAACAGCAGCTTTCTGCAGGGTTTCTTCCAAGCTCAGAGGGTCATCAACTCAGCAGGGTTCTCTGAGCCACTGCTTCCCAAGGCAGACACAGGGTGCCATCCGATGGTCCCAGCAAAGCCCCCCTCCACCTCCTGACAGGTGGTCACTCCTGTGATAAAGCCACACAGAGCCAAAGGCTGGCATCTTTGACGTTCTGCTGCAGGCTGGCAAATAATTGCATGAAATTAACAGCCCATAAAAATGTCCCTGCCAGCCCACCCTTTGTCACAAGCAGTCGACCATTAAGAAAATCAGACCCACATTGCTCCTTATCCCGAGCAGGGCTCTGGGCCTCGTGAGCAGCTAATTGCAGGCCATTACCTTCAGTGAAGCAAGGGCACGTTTGTCTTGGTCCAAAGCTTGGAGTCTTGAGACAGTCACAGAATTGCCAGGGCCTGCAAGCGGATGCTGCCTCCCCCAGATGGAGGAGAAAGCAACCCTGGACAGCAGGCCTGAGCGGGCAGCCAGGTGGCCAAGTCAGCCCTCCTCTGCTCTCCCTGCCACCTCGCAGGAGGATCCTGCTGAACTATGCCGTGTACAACCCAACCATCGGCTACTCCCAGGGCATGTCAGACCTCGTGGCACCCATCCTGGCCGAGGTCCTGGACGAGTCTGACACCTTCTGGTGCTTTGTTGGCTTGATGCAGAACACGATCTTTGTCAGCTCTCCCCGGGATGAGGACATGGAGAAACAGCTGGTAAGCGCTGGGGCTCAGCATGAGCACATGTGCATGCATAGGCACGCTCACACACACGTGCTGGACAGCATCCCGAGATCAGACATACCACCGTTGCCAGGGGTCTCCCCATAGTGATGTGTGGTGTTGTCACCAGTCAGCAGCAGAAAGCCAGGATAAGGTTGCTAATGGGATATATTTAGCCTCCTGGGAGGAAGTGGCACCCCACAGTGTCCCAGGAGAGGGGTCCCCTGGCCTCTGTAGGTCTCTCCTGTGGTGACCTTCAACCTTCATGCATGGGACAGTACAGTGCAGAAAGACAAGGACAGGAAGGCCCCATCACACCTGTGCTGTGCAGAAGGGGCTCTTGGTGGTCCGGGCTGCAGATCCAACAGGGCTGAGACTCCTAATGCCACCCTGAGCCCTTGAGGAGTTCTCAAGTTCCTACCCCAAAGACAGCAGAGGCCCAGCCACCACCTTCAAAGCATGAGCCCTGTATAACCCAAGCAGCACCAAATGGTAGGGGAGAGGACAGGCTAGCCTGGGTCGGCAGGCCCAAGGCACTTGTTCTCTGTTCTCACCTGCTGGGGGCCAGTGTCAGGCCCTAGAATGTGGTCTCACCCTCAGTCCAGGGGAAGGTTCGGCCTGGAAGCCAACAGTGTGAGCCAGGGCTGGGCCCCTGCAGGTAAAGGTGATAGAGTCATGTAGATGCAGGAGGCCAGCAGGAGGTCCATGTCTACCCCAGGACGTGTCTCCCAGCACCACAGAGACTTAGCTAAGTAGGGGTGCAGGCGGCCATGCTGAACGCCTGGTCTCGAGCTAGACGCTCTTGGTGAAGCTCAGGCAGACCTAGGGGCCAAGGAGGAGCTTGTTCTGCAGGCAGGGGCTGCCGAGGGGGAGATAGGGTTGCAGAGCACAGCAGAAAAGACTCAGAGCCGAGGCAGGAAGGAGTCTAACAGGGCTCATGGGGGTTCAGCCATCGTGGCCTTGTGGCCTTGACCCTGCCTAAGCCACAGAGCCCCAACACAGCCTGACAGGAAGAACAGTGAATACAGCTTCCTGGCCACTGCAGTCCTAGCCTCTGTCTCCGAGGGAACAAAGGGCCACTTGTGTGGGGAGGGGCACGAGGCTGTTGAGACCCCTCAGCTCTGATCTCAAGAGCATCTGCCCCTCTCGCCAGCCCGCCCCCGTGTCCACTCCACATCATCCTGCGTGCCTGTGTGACGTCAGGTTTCCACGGTACCGGAAGGCAATCGTAAGGCCTGACACCATTCGCCCCCAGTGACTCCAGGCTGCACGTGGCCCAGTGACTCATTAGCTGCCAGAGATTGATTTTCCAACAGCACTGGTGAAGTCAGCAGCCCCGCCCAAAAATAGCTTTGATCTTGTCCCATGTCACAGGGGGAGTGACCTTTTGCGAGAGAAGCCAGCGTCCTGGGGCTCAGCCCCATCCCCGCCCTGCCCCAATCAGCCTATGGAGACGCAGGGAGATGAAGGGGGACAGGCAGGTTCCCCAGGATGATCTGCTCCCCTTGCCAGGAGAGGTGGGGATTAGAAATAACCCCCAGTGGGAGCCAGGGATTTAGCTCAGTGGCAAATCGCCTGCCTGGCAAGCGCAAGGTCATTAGTTCGATCCCCAGTATAAAAAAAGAGAGAGAGAGAGAAGAAAATAAAAAAGAAATAGCCCCCAGATGCAGGCTGACCCTTGATGGCATCCCCTGTAGTCAGCCTCCCAGCTGCACAGAGTTGGTGCCATGCTCTGCCTTGCTCTGGAGGTCTCGGCCGAAAACTTACAGTGGAGGCTGCATCTATCCGAAGGAAACCTTCATTGCTAGTATGCGGAGAAATGTGGAAAAGGTGACAACCTTGCAAATTTTCATTTATTGTATTTATTTAATAAAGTATACAATTTTTAATTTCTTTGTAGCTACAATTTAGAAATTGGTAAGCAAAGAAATACAACGCTATATCCCAGAGTTTGCAGTCTCTCTCAGGGACAGTACGCTATCAGATACCACAAGCCCTTACAAAACTCCAGCAACAGCTTTGATGTGATGGCTTAATGTTGGTCCCGTATAGAGGCAGCTACTCTCCGACTTGAGTTTGTGTCCCCGTGTATGCACCAATATTTGAGAAGAGGGGCTGCTTGTATCCAGATCAGCATAGTCTCCCAGGGTGGAACACATAAGTGGGCAGAGACTCCCTGTGTGTGCGTTTCGTGGCTGGAGTGAAGAAGGAGCCTCCTGGGTCATGGCAGGCAGGTTTGCAGGTGGGCTGACCGTCCTGCCCTCCCCCAGCTCTACCTGCGGGAGCTGCTACGGCTGACGCATCTGCGCTTCTACCAGCACCTGGTGTCACTGGGCGAGGACGGCCTGCAGATGCTTTTCTGCCACCGCTGGCTCCTGCTGTGCTTCAAGCGGGAGTTCCCCGAGGCTGAGGCCCTGCGCATCTGGGAGGCCTGCTGGGCCCACTACCAGGTGAGCAAGGGGCCACAACAGCCTCACTCCACACTTCCTCTGGGGGTACCCTGTCCCTGCCGTATGCCAACAGCCAACGCCTCACCGCAGCTGATGTACGGTCCCCTGTGGCCAGCTTCGGCCCTTGCCTCTCCAGTCACTGAAATCGATGCAGATTGCCCACTGACGGTGCTCATTACCACACTCTGGGGCTGAGCTCCCTCCTGTCATGACCAATCAGCAGGAGAGACATCACCGGCCAAGTGCAGCCATGGCAGACGTGCCGATGGTGCCCGTGTGCAGGGGCCAGCCTGCCCACTCTGCACCCCTGGGACTACTCCAGTACATTGAGGCCCAACACAGCCCCTCTTCCTCCTTTTCAGAAAAGTGCCCAGTGCCACCCTCCCTAGAAGCCCCTGCACAGAGTGCTGGCCAGTGCTGCCAGCTTCTGCTCAGTGTCCACAGTTCTCGGTGTCTCTCCACTGTTTCCCTTCCTGACCCTTAGCCTGGCTCCAACACCACATCAGGCACCCACTGTCAGTAAGTGAGGATAGGTAAATCTCTTTGAATCCATCAGCCTTTAAAAAAATATAGCAGGGATGCATTCTGCAGGGGACACCTCTCTCGTCTGCACACGGTCACAGCAGCTCCTTCAGATGGACCTTGCAGAGATTCAAACACCCACCCCATCCACCGCACAAATGAACATGGGCATTTCCCACCCTGAGCAGTGTCACGGGCCATTATATCTTGAAGCAGTGTAGTGCAAGCCCCGTATGATTCATTCCGGCCTGCCACACCTCGTGCCCCTGACTGGGGGCATGGACATGGACAGTCAGGAAGAATGCCCCCCAGCTTCCCTTCCCCACATTCTTCCAGGGGGTGCCTGGCATCTACTTCTTGGACATCTCATCCTGGCCAGAGTTCTTACCACTGCCCAGGGGCCAGGCTGAGCCAAAACAAGACCGTTCTGGATCAGTTCTGGGAGTGCAGCAAGGCAGCCTGGGGAGTCCACCACCCCAGCCTCTGCCCAAAGCGAGCACTCTGCCGGCTTGGCTGGGGACTCAGATGGGTTTTGGATGGCAGGAGATAGACGCAGACTTTCTGGGCCCCATGCTTCCTCTGCCTCCAGAGGCCAGTATGCCTGGAGGTGTCCGAGTAGTCACAGCCTGGACCCAGTGTGGGCCGCCTGAGGCTCAGCTGGGTCCTGCAAGGCAGCCTTAGAGGAGGGCAGTGGAGGAGAGCTCGTGACCGCCCTCCCAGAGGGCATGAGGGAGCAGCTTAGCTGGACTCTGCTTTTCAAAGTGCTGGTGCCAGACCACAGTCTGGGCGTGTGCCATGGGTCTCAGCCTGCAGGCAGGAGGACAGATGGGCAGATTCAGGCTGCCACAGGCTCATACACCCCAGGAGTGTGTACACAGTGTGCGTGCCTGGCTGTAGAGGGAAGGTGACCTTTGCCCTATCACAGACCACCCAGAGATCCAACCAGCACCGCCCAGCACTGTCTGTTCTGGACTCAGAGCAGCCTGGAGTGGGTGTAGCACTGCCTGCCCATGGAGACCTCCGTATGAAGGCCACTGCTGCTGCGCAGGACCACCGCTCCACAAGCTTGGGGCCTAGCCCCAAATCCCTGCACACCCCTCTGCCCTCCTGCAGGCGGGGCCAGGACAAGTCAGGCTGGCCTGAGCTCTGCTTCTCTCCACAGACGGATTACTTCCACCTCTTCATCTGTGTGGCCATCGTGGCCATCTATGGGGATGATGTCATCGAGCAGCAGCTGGCCACAGACCAGATGCTCCTGCACTTCGGAAACCTGGCCATGCACATGAACGGGGAGCTGGTGCTCAGGAAGGTAAAAGGGACTACGTGGCCAGAGGCCCCTCCCCAGGCACACAGACCCCACCCCCTATGTACACAGAGCTCCACCCCCAAATGCAGGCCCTGCACCCTTCCCTCCCCGATGTGATCTGAGTCTCAGGGTCCTCACCTGCTGCAGTGCCTCAGGATTTGATGTGTCCCGGAAAGGCTGACCCTACACTCCTTCCATGGTCCCCATCCTGACTCTGGGGCTTCCAGAGCCATGAATTCTTGGGCTGGTGCCTATCCTGCGGCTCCTCACTCCCAGCCCAGAACTGCAGAGACTGAGCAGGAGTCTTAGCCTGAGGGTGGGCGCAGCTTCCCATGCTAGGGGAACCAAGATACCAACGGGGCTTGAATGTCTGTGGCCCCCCAGTTTCCAAACCTGGGCTGGAAGTGCTGCTCCTTAGAGCTCTCTTATGGTCTCTCTTACGGGGGCAGTAAGGAGGGGTTCTCTGCACAGGATCCCAGACCTCCAGAGTAGCTCCAGGTGGCTGGTGGGACAGGACAGGCACCTGGGGCAGGTGAAGAAGCTCCAGTCAGAGGGCTTCTGCATGAAGGGCTCTGGGGAGCTTCTCCCCTTGAGCCACCTATGAACGCCTCCTCAGGGCTTCATAGTCCTTCACAGCGGACACTGAAGGCCAAGGGCCTAGGTCCTCTGCGCTGGCACTGAGTGGGCGCCATCAGGGCGCCTGCCCTGAGCCATCCTTAGTAAGAGCCCTGGCATTGGCCCTTGCTGCTGCTGCTTTTCAGCTACTCCCCGGAGATGTGACCATCACACTCTCGCCCTGACCCTGCCCTCTCTCCTTGCAGGCCAGGAGTCTGCTGTATCAGTTCCGCCTCCTGCCACGTATCCCCTGCGGCCTGCATGACCTGTGCAAACTCTGTGGGACAGGCATGTGGGACAGCGGGTATATGCCTGCCGTGGAGTGTGCCGGCCACCACCCCGGCTCCGAGAGCTGTCCCTATGGGGGCACCATGGAGGTGCCTGCACTCAAACCCCTGAGAGATGGCAAGAAGGGCACAAAGATGTCTCGGGAAGGCTTTGGTTTCCGCAGATAGGAGCTGCTGCCTGCTCAGAACAAGGGGTGTCGGGCCTCACCAGAGGTCCTAGCATGTGGGAGGGGTGGGGACGGGCGTGGAGGGGACAGGGATGGTAAAAGTGTAAGAGAGTGCCTTCTGGCAGCATGAAGAGAACCACTGCATAGCAATGACAGTCAGGAAATGACAGCAGGAGTCCACCCAGTGAGAGGCTGGCTTCGGGAACTCAGCCATGGGGCCCTCGTGCCAGCCACCTTCGGTTAGTTTCGCATGATCCGGAGTTCTTCCATGCCAGGGAATGAGAAACGCAGGAACAGGAGAAGGAAGCCTTATCCACCCCCAGCACCAAAGGAGGTGGAAAAATGGGGTGCTCTGCGCAGGCCGGAGACTTTCCTGCAAGCCAGGCGCCTTTACACGCCCCACCATGCTCTTCCAGGAATACAGACACTCCCTCCTCGTTCCAGAAAGACATATGTGGGAGCAGCCAAGAGAGGCCTCCTGAGGTCAGGGTCAGTGTTAGGGCTGGGTTGGGGTCGTGCCCGTGGGGGAGAGGAAGTGCCTGCCTCGTCACTCGTCAGATGCATCCTCCTGGTTAGGACGTTCACCTAAGGATCTGAGGTGCTATGCAAGATCGGCCCCACCAAATACAGCAGCCAACCGGGAGCTGAAAGGACTGAAGCATGTGTATGCATGCATGTGTGTGCGTGTGTGTGTGTGTGTGTGTGTGTGTGTGTGTGTGTACAGGATATTAAGTGACCAGCTAAAGACAGATGCCTGAGCTGGCTGGGCAGGAGGAGCCACCTGCTTCAGGACCTGCAGCCTCTGCTTGAACATGGCTTCCTGTCAGGCGTCTTCTCAGGTGGCTGGGCACAAAAGGCCACTGTCACATCGCAGCACACAGTGCTGTCTGCTTCTGGGAGGGAGACTTCCAACACATCGTCCTCCAAAAGACTGTCACTCACTGCTTCTGGGAGTGAGGGATGGACAGAGCAGACTTGAGATCTGCACTGAGAGCTCCCTCAGCCCGAATGGAAAGTCCATCTGAGGTGGCAGGAGTGGGGCGCTCAGAGCCTTCTCCCAGTGTCACCGGGGCAGGGGTTCCTCGTGCTCAGCTCTGTCGTGGGAGAGTAGGCACTGCTGGACAGTGCCATTTTTCAAAGATGTTTGTCAGCAGGAAAGAGGGAAGTCCCTGTCACCAGCCCCTCCCCCTCTGTGCTTTGTGAGCCTGGTCCTCTCTATGGGAACCTTCAAGTTCCTGGGGGTCCCTCTGTCCAGGAGCCCTGGGCCAGCGGGGGCGTATGGGGGAGAGGAGCCCTGTCATTGTGCCAATACATTGTGCCACTACTTATGTGATCTGATAGTGGTGGCCCTGGGAGATTGGATCCTCATCTGCTTTGCAGGAAGAGGATTGTTGGCTCCTGATGCCCTGGGGAATTAGCTAGAGTTAACCACACCTGTCTGCTCCAACCTTCTGGGAGCCGGACTCCAGAGACAGGTATACTGTCAGCTGCCCCTTCCCACCGTAATACACTGTAGCAATAACCCCAAAGCTTGGTGACCTAAATCCATGTTCACTTAGCTCACATGCAGATTTGCTGGTTACAGTCCTGGCTGGGCAGTTCTGGTCTTGGTTGGACTTGCTCAGCCCTAAAGTTCCAGTGACTCTGGGGTCCCAGAGAGGTAATCCCCAGGAAGGGGTAGGTCTCCTGCATCCCTCCTGCTGGCCAGCCTTGCTGGGCACGTGCCTTTCCTAGCCTTGCAGACATCCTGCCTGCTGGCATCACTGTGGTTAAAGCGATCAGATAGCCGAAATTGGCATCCTGGGATGGGGCATGGACCCTTCCCTGTGGTGTTCCCTCTGCACGGTCAGGTAAGCAAAGGCTGAGTTCACAAAAAAGAGGAATGAGGATTGCTGTTACAATCTCCTGCCCTTGCCAGGAAGTCTTGCTGCTGCCCCACGTCACTCCCCAGAGAAGAGCAGCGTCCTGCCCTGCCCTGCCCTGCCCTCACCTCCCCTCCCTGCAGCCTGACACCTTGTGCCTTCTGGCTGCTGTATCTGCAGGATGGGGTGGGGGAGGGGAGCAGGTGGAAGGACACCCATCCTGTCTCAGCCTCCCCGGGTTCCTCCCTGGCAGCCCCCAGGACCTGACTCAGACCCACCAGCTGCATCCTCCCGGGGTGCCACCCCTTCCTCTCACCCCACCCGCCATGGGTGACACAGGTCCAGGGGGACAGCTACACCTGTGGGCCAGCCAGGGTCTTGGCAGCCAGAACAGGGAGTGTCCGGTGGAGGAACCGTGCTGGAGGCAGTGGGGAGGGGGGATATCCATCGGAGAAGCCCTAGTCGCACAGCTCCCTTAATCTGGATGCAATTAGAGGAAACCAGCCAAAACCCCTGCGGCAGCTGTTACCCCAGGATTATTCCCAGCCAGCAAAAGGCATTAGGGTGATAATTCAGTCATTAGACTCCAAGCCTTCCCACCGCCAGGATGTGCAAATAGGGGGTAATCAGCCCGGCACTGCCATCTCCAGCGATGCTGCTTATTTAACCCATTTTTTAAAATGACACTTAATGCTATTGGCGGGCGCACGTGTGTGCGCATACTTAGAAGTTGGCGCTCACTTCAGCCCCACCACTAATGTCTGTGCTGACAGTGCTGTGCAGTGTCACCTGGGGCCTCTGGGATGAGAGGGCACCTTTGATGTGTGCGTGCAGGCACTAGTAGAGCACTGGTGAAGCTTGATGTCTGCTGCCACCCAGGGAGACCCCACCAACTTCTCACTCCATCTCCCAGGGAGAAAGGACAGTGCCAGGAGCTCAGAAGGGGGACACACCAGGAAATGGCAGGGCTCTGTGACCAGGCCAGAAAGATGTCTTCCCAGGGTGTGGGGGGCACAGTGCTCTTCTGGAAGATTCCACCTCAAGTCCCAGCCAGGAGGACTCATTAGTCATGGTATAGCTCACCCCTACAGAGGAGCAGGGTCCAGAGTCCACTGGGCAGCCCTGGGCCTGGGCACTGTCCATACTGTGTCCTCCTGATCCACCCAGCTTCTGGCAAGAGGGAAACTATTAAACCTCAGAAGCAAGGACCCCAGCCTCAGAGCCCGTGTCACACACTGCTGGAGGGGGGCTTTAAAGTGGGAGCTCACCTTTACCTTGGACAGTGGCCGAGGCTGGCAGAGGGCACCCAGCTCTTACCTTTGACAGGTGGTCCTAAAGGGGCGGTTGGCCTTGAGGAAGTGGGGTGAGGATGGTAGATGAGGCTCCAGTTCCTGTAAGGTCCCTCAGGGCTCTTGTCTGCTTGAAGAGGGTAGCCTTAGGGAAGTGGGGGTTAGCTTGGGCTGTGCCTTGGGAAGGTCCAACCTCCTCTGATCTCTGCAGGGAGGGAGGGCTCTGGGACATCCTTGACTCATGGGAAGAGGTTAGGAGTTACTGTCTGTGTATCTGTGCAGAAGACTCAGGAGGCTGCCCTGCCTCAGAAAGAGGGAGAAGAGGTCCCCTGGGAAAACCACACACTACTTGGGGGTACAGACCCGGGACAGTGGTGGGACTGGCTGCCCAGCTGGGTTTACCCGTCCCTGGAACTGGCCCTAGGATCTGTGAAGCCTAGGGTTCCAGCTCCTAGTCTGGGCAAAAGCGTCCATCTCTGAAAGCCGGCTTCCCCAGAAGTCCTCCCCAGAGCTGAGAGGCTGTACTGCGCAGGGGGAGGAGCTCTTCCCAGGGTCTGGGATGTGGCCTCCCTGATGTATGATCTGCTTCCTCTCCCAGCCTGTTCCTCTCCTTGGAAGCAAAAAGAAGGTGCCCCCAGGCCGTCTCTCAGGGCTGCCACAGGGCCCCTAGGTGTCCAAGCCACAGTGCAGATGCTTTACCATGGCTCAGGACCTCACCTGCCCCTCAGGGAAGAGACTGCTGGTGTTAGGCTTAAGCTGTGCTGCCCCCGTGGAGCTAAATGCTCCAGGTGGTTTGGGGTCGGCAAACTCATGTCCCTCCTGCCTACCCACCTTCTGCCAAGGGCAAACCTCTCTGCTTCCCTGCAAAGTTCACTCCATGCCATTCATTCCTGCCGTGAAGAAAAAATCAGCCACAAAACATTCTCAGTGAGCCTGTCATGCATCTTCCGGATCTGACCCCTTGTCCATGAAAATCTCACAGGCTACAGACTCCAGCCTCCTGGGTTGGAGCTTAGGACCAGCAGCAGGACACGCCTGGGCCTCCCTGAGCAGAGAGCAGAGAAAAACACAAACAGCCTGCCCCCACCCAGTCTTCTCTATGCGCTATTGTGTGTCCAGGCCGGAAAGTAGCACTTTGAGCCCAAAGAGAGATTCGGCCCTGTGACCATCTTTGTCCTGATGCTTTGCGGGTGGAGAGTTATTTAAGAGAAGTCTTCTGAAATTTCCACCATTCCCAAGAGATTGGTAACATCTGCAGCAGGTGACTGCTTTGTTTTTTAACTATAATTGCTCACCAGTTGGGCCCAGGGCTGGCACCACGACCCCCTTAAGCCATGGCCCTGACTGTGCTCCTGGCTTTCACAGATTCCACTGCAGAGAAAATAAAATCATATTGACAACTAGTGTGCCTGGTACACTGCCTCTAAGAAGGATGGGTAGAGGATGTCAATAGGCTTGGAAGAGGTGCTGGGCAGAGAGGGTTCAGTAGGAGGGGAGCCAAAAAGGGCTGTGGTCCCTTCAGCCTGCCTCAGTTCTCCGTGGCTCTGAGGTGGGGGAGGGGAGCAGCCCAGGGCGCCCCTGGGGGGGGGGGCTGGGCCTGCAAGTGCTGCTCTGGAAGGCGTACCCTGAGCTATGGGTGGACTGGTATTTGGCCTGCAGGGAGCTGACTAGGAGGAAGGGCGTCCAGACCCTGGCACAGGGAGATGAGTGGATGGCTACAGAAAGCTGGCTGGTCCCTGAGCTGACCAGTGTCTGAAAATATAAGCAGTATTTTTTTTCAGTGTTAGCTTCCCAGGCTCCAATTTCAGGAAAAGTCTGAATCTTGCATTTGTGAACTTATTTTTTAAGGAGACAAAAAGAACTCAACTTTGATGGGCAGGAGCTAAGGCATGGACCTTGCATCTTGCTGCCCTGTGGGGACATGGACCTGGGGCGCATTGGGACAGTGGGCAGGTGCCCACTGGGGCATAGAGTCAGGGCTTGAGCTGCTTTTCCTAGATTTCATGTGTGTCTGTCCTTGTGCTTGTGGGAAGGACTGTCAGGAGGTCTGATGTTTGTACCCCTGGGGTTCTCCAGCTGAAGGGTCAGTCTCACCTACTCAGCATTGGCATAGACATCTGAGCATGTGCCATGCCCTTATGTGCCAGGAAGTGTCCCAAGTGCCAGCCGGTCCTCTCAGAGGCCATCAGAAGTGACAGTTCACTGCATTGTGTAAGGACACCTCTGTCCCTTTGGTAGTGAACAGAACCAATGCCAGGCCACAGGGACAAGCCACCTGGAAAGCCAGACTTCCTGCTGTCCCAAGACTGGCCGCTCCTCTTGCGCTTGAGAAGCGCACATCATTTGCAGGACAGCTGGGCCATGTGTGCACAGCAGTGTTTACCCCACAGCCAGGGTTGGAGGCTGCTTCGGATGAGCTCTCTGGGGGCCCGCTCTGCTCACAGCAGAGAGCGCAGCCCACAGCCCTACCCGGCCACTGCTCACGAATGCATTCATGTAGCAAGTGCCCAGCCGTACTCTCCCCTGGCCGGGGACCCATTCCACTGTGCCCTGGACTCACCCCAGGGACTGGCATGGGGCATACAGGGCTGGCCCATGTGTGGGGCAAGGCCAAGTGCATTGCCAGCCTCTGCCTACGCAAACCCTGCATTCTTGGTTTCCATGTGGCTTTGGACTGCCCCGGCCACAGGTGTGACCGGCTCCAGAGATGCAGGTGAGCGAGAAATGCCCCTCACCTCCTCTCCCCTTGCTCTGGTTGAAACCCAGTGTGAGCTCCTATCACTCCAGGGCTATTGCAGTGTTGCCAGTGTCTCTCTACTCCATTCTAGACACAACCAGCTGAGAGAGGGTGAAAGTCCTTGTGCAAAATTGCACACTGTCTGTCCCACGCTCTGGCTGTCACTGAGATGCTTTTTGCTTAAACCCAAAGAAGCCAGCGCAGCCTGGCTCTGTTTCAGCTTGGGGGCCCTGACCCTGCCCTCACCGCACATATGCTCCATCCCGTCCAGGAGGGGAGCCTCCCCACCCCGGAACAGGAGAGCCTCACATTTGCCCCTTTCTCAGCTAACTGTGCACCTGAGGAGGGGCCGGACCTGCGCCTCCTTCCCTGTCCTCTGCCACCCAGAAGGCACTACTGGCCTTGCACTTGACCTTCAGATTTCGGCATTTCTACCCACCAGGAGGGGTGGTACCTCCTCGACCCACCCCCTGCGCACCCCTGTCCGCTCTCTCTGTGTCAGGAGAGTGGCCAGGCTTTAGGCTCCTGGCTAAGCAGCTTCTCATTCACACAAGCAGCTGAAAATACAGCACTTGGTCTCTGCACAGGAGTAAGTCTGCCTCAACCACCCGACACGGTCAGCTCTTCCACCTGAACAGAAAAGGCCACTTAGCAGTTTGAGATCCCTGCTCCCTGGAGGTGATGGCTCCAGAATTCCCTGAGCCTGTGTCTAAGAGGCTGAACCTAGGAGGGCATGAAGAGGGGGAGTGTGGCAGGCTGGGAGCAGTGACCAGCTCCACAAGAAGCAGAAATGCTCCCAGCGACAAGAGACCACCACGGGACCCACCAAGGCCCAGACACAAGCTTTCTGGTAAACTTTGTTGCTTCCTGGCGGTGAATAAATGCACTGGAAAATGGCACAGAGCGTCCACGGTAGTGGGCACATGGTCCAGCAGTTTTTAAACCTAACAGTAGAATGTGACAGCAGGCGGGGGCCAGGAAGTCCTGGCAAGAAAGAGGTTCAGAGCTCTGCTTGGGCTCACTGGGGCACAGCCAGTGACAGGGGGACAGGCAGAAGGCCCTGAGAGTGATTGAAAAGCCTTCAGAAGGGTCAGTGATGGGCCTCACAACAAAGCCCACTGGGTGATAAATGTCAAGCATCCGTAAACTACGGAGAGGGTGCCAGCTAGCTGTTTGCTGCTCCTCTGGGAGTGGAGACCTGGGCAGAGGTGCTGCTAGCTGTGGAAGGGTCTGCCAGGGGCTGCCATCAGGAGGTGCCACTCCACTCCTTTCTAGAAGTCTGGGATTTGGAGGGCAGGCTCTGGGTGTGGGCTTCACCCTGAGCAGGGACCCTGCTAACAGGGTCTCTAGCCCACGACCACACACATACTGAGTACACTGGCAAGGGCATTTTGGCTTCTAAAGGGAAGCCTCCCCCATCCCCTCAGTGTCCCTCTGCGAAAGGAGGTCCCAATCTACCAAAAAGCTCAACAGACTAAGACAAAAACCCCACAGCAACTGGAGTTTCCGGGTGGGCAGGGAGCAGACAAGTAACCTCAGTGACAGCTCCCAAGAAGTATCCAGGATTTCAGCCTCCCCTGCTCTGGTGCCCACCTCCCTGTCCTGCAAACTGGAAGTAGGTACCCAGAGACACTCGCTCTCCTTTCCCTGGAACCTTACCCTCCTGCCTTTCTGACAGATGCCCATGCTCTGTGGAATGACTGCTTTAGAGGGGAGTCCATACCCCTATCCTTTGTCTCTGTTGACAGGCTCAGGACCTCCTGTACCAGGTGAGCAAGTGGGAGTGAGCTTCCAGCACGTGGCACCAGCTGTCCTGGGACAGCATGGTGGTAGAGCTTCGGGCTGCACAGGGAAGGCTGGATGCTTCTGAGCAAGATGCCTGCATGGCTGAGGAGCTGGGCAGGTGGGTGGTTAAGGAGGAGGGAGCAGGAGCCCGCCACAGGTGTCTCTGCAGGTACCCACCAGGAGAGGAAAGTCTCCCTACTCCCCGCCTGCAGCCTCCCCTTCTCAGTGTGCCCCTTGCCTCTGCCCACATGGTGGCTGCAGGATGGTTGCCTACTCCCTCCAGGATGCTGCAGATTTGAATCTGAGCAGAAGGACCCTCAACTCTTGGACCAGGGTGCAGCCACCAGGACAGGGTGCCATTTAGCATGGAGACTGACCTGAACATGGAGGTGTGTTATGTGGGGTGGGGGTGGGGAGTCCAAGCCTCCCAGGGTCTCCAGAGACAGCTGCTGTTCCTGTGTGCTCCAGAATGCCGGCCTCGCCATCGAGGCTGTCACAGATCAGCAGGGAATTGAGCAATGAGATCGCTTGCTCTTGCTCTGCAAAGCGGGAAGAGAGAAGGGATGGGTGTGTGGAGCCGCCAGCCCACTGCAGGCCTCAGGTGCGCAGGGAAATGGGGTCCATGTACCAGGAAATATCAATAGCTGGTAGAATCTGGGGGAATCCAGTTACCAGGGTGCTGTGCAAGCCAGCAGCTGCACAACAGGAAAAGTCACCGAACCCCAGTGGGACCTGGGCCCCCCTGCTCTGCCCCAGCTCCCAAGGGAAAGTTCTCAACTGCCCCGACCCCCCAGTGCTGCACCGCAGGGCATAACGAAGCCTCTGGCTCTAGCCTTTCAGAGACCACCCAGCCACCCATCCCTGTCCCCCGGTCCAGAGCCAACACCAGCCAGGGCACCTCCACCTGCCTGGCTCCAGGCCCTCAGCTCACCGGTCTTCTTTCTGTCTGTGTGCCTCTGTCTTACAAAAGCCTGGTCTCTCTCTCTCTCTCTCTCTCTCTCTCTCTCTCTCTCTCTCTCTCTCACACACACACACACACACACACACACACACACACACACACACACACTGTGCCCCTTTATGCAGAGTCACAGAAAAGGAACCCTCAGGCCTCCAAAGAGCACTAGATACTAGTGCCTTCCCCTCTTTTTGGGGGGGCAGTGCCAAAACCCTTTTTCAGTGCTGACAGTAAACCCTCCCCAGGCTGAGAGCTGCCTGTGCCTATTCCTGAGTAGAGCTGAGCCTGTGCCCAGCCCATCATCTCTGTGGGGTCCACCCGAGGTGGGCAGGGCACTGGAAGAATTTACCAAGTACCCCAAGATAGAATAGGGCTATAGTCAGTGGGGTCCCCAGTGGGGACCCATCGGAGAGGGGCCAGCCATGTGGGCTGAACTCACTGGTGGCCTCGCCCTTCCTGGGCCTCAGGAAAAGGAGGCTAGAGGGGTAACCCATGGAGGGGGGAAGCCTGCACTTGGACCCGGAACTCTGTGCTCCGCCTGGCCCTGCACACTCAGTACCCTCTCTGAGAGTGAGTGTTGCCATGGGCAATGCAGTTCCCGGCAGTGCCCACCCTGTGCCCACACCATCACTGCAGCACGTCTGTCGGGTCTGCGTGGCCGGCATCCCCACCCCCAGCTCGGGGCCTGGCCTGCAGCAGCCTCTCAGGTGTCTGCTGGATAATAAATTAATAAACCAGGCCCCTCCTGGATGCTCGGCAAATATTGTCTGAATGCAGGAACGTCGCCGCTGATATGGACACATGTTCATGTACACAGATCATAAAAGAGGCCCTGGCGAGAGCCGATGGGCCGATAAGATTAGCCCCAAGCCCCGAGGCCGCTCAGCAGGTCACCAAGGTGGGCGCAGGCAGGAGAAGCCTCC